CTCCCCCCCATTTGGGAGCAGGAATCCCGGGCCGAAGGGGACCCCGCTTCCCGCGCCACGGATTGCGACCCGGGCTCCCGGGGGCCGGCGCTTCCCCCCCGCGCCGAATACCGGCCCGCCCGCCCGCTTCGCCCCGCCCGAGGGCCCGCTGAGCGCGGCCGGAGAGGGGCGCGGGGAGGTCCCGGCGGGCGCTGCCCCGACCGCGGCGAGTTCGGGGAGTTGCACTAGTTGGCGGGGCGATGGAGGAGCAGGAGCGGGGGTCGGCGCTGGAGAAGAACGTGGCGGAGCTGACGGTCATGGACGTGTACGACATCGCGGCGCTGGTGGGCCACGAGTTCGAGCGGGTCATCGACCAGCACGGCTGCGAGGCCATCGCGCGCCTCATGCCCAAGGTCGTGCGCGTCCTGGAGATCCTGGAGGTGCTGGTCAGCCGCCACCACGTCGCGCCCGAGCTGGACGAGCTGCGCCTGGAGCTGGACCGCCTGCGCCTCGAGAGGGTGGACCGCATCGAGAAGGAGCGCAAGCACCAGAAGGTGGGCCGCGGCCGCGGGGGGCCCCTCCGGGCCAGGGGCCCGTCAGCGCGGGGCGCGCGCACGGACGGGAAGGCAGGGACCCCAGGAGGGACGGGGTGGGGGGTGGGGGGCCTGGCCCGCTCTTGCCCAGCCGGGGACACTGTCCTGTACCCCCCGGGGATGAAGGGCAGTTCTGTGGAGTCAGACCCGAGTTCCAATCCCACCTTGACCATTCAATAGCTGTGTGACCTCAGGCGGAGTTCCTTAACCTCTCTGGGCTTGATTTCCTCGCACGTCCCATGGTGACGGTAATAGGAGCCAACTTAGAATAAAACGTAACGAGATAGCATCTAAACGGCCCAGATAATATTACATTTTTTCAGAAATGGGATCAGCTTCCTGCCCTTCCCTGTCACCCAGGAAGAGGAGATACAGCCCCCTTTTTTCCTGATATCTCAGGGCCCCCCAGAGAGCAGAGGGGGTGTGGCTTCCAGCGCCTGGGGGACCCGGGTCCCGGGTTCCTCTTGGCAAATCGCTTCCCAGGCTTCCTCCTGGGTCATCAGCCTGTGCTCCCGGGCGCTCTCTCCCCCTGGATTTTATCTTGTTCTCACAAAGCTGTGAGGAAGGAGTGATCTTCATCTCACAGATGAAAACACTGAGGGTGTGTGGGGGGGAAGGACCTGTCCCACCTTAGTGCTGCGAGAGCCGGTCCCCAGTGAAGATCATTCTCGTGTCTCTGGTGGTTTAAGTTGGGGGAAGGGTGCCCACTGGCGTGGCTCAGTGGTTGAGCGTCAGCCTAGGAACCAGGAGGTCCCAGTTCGAATCCCGGTCAGGGCACAGGCCCGGGTTGCGGGCTCCATCCCCAGTGTGGGGCGTGCCGGAGGCAGTCGGTCCGTGATTCTCTCTCATCATGGATGTTTCTCTCTCTCTCCCTCTCCCTTCCTCTGAATCAATAAAAATATATTTTAAAAGAGTGAATTGGGGGAAGGCAATGAAATGGGGCAGATTTAAAGCTAAGCCTCTGCCCTGTGAACAAGAATCCCTATGGGCCGGTGACTCAGGGCCTCCCCTCTGGGCCAGGCGTCCAGCTCAGGTGCCTGGAGAGGAGGAAGTGGGAGACTGGTGTCCGGTCAAGCCCTCCGCTCCGGGAAGCTCCTGTCAGACACCTTCCGCCTGGGAACAGGGGGAAACGCCTTTCCTGGGGCCCAGGTGCCTGGCAGGCTCCGGCTTGCTGTGTGGCCTCAGGAAATACACTGTGCCTCTCTGAACCTCCCAGCAGGCCGTCGCCTACGGCCTAGTGCAGTGATGGCGAACCTATGACACGCGTGTCAGAGGTGACACGCAAACTCATTTTTTGGTTGATTTTTCTTTGCTAAATGGCATTTAAATACATAAAATAAATATCAAAAATATAAGTGTTTTACAATGGTTGCAAATATCAAAAAATTTCTATATGTGACACGGCACCAGAGTTAAGTTAGGGTTTTCCAAAATGCTGACACGCCGAGCTCAAAAGGTTCGCCATCACTGGCCTAGGAGGTCCTTTGAGGTCTGAGTGTTTTTTCACGGAAAATAGCCCGGGCCCAGGCCGTGTCTGCAGTCTTTTTTTTTTTTTAATAAATGTGTTTTTTGTTTGTTTGGTTTTTTGTATATTTTTATTATTGATTTTTTTACAGAGAGGAAGGGAGAGGGATAGAGAGTTAGAAACATCGATGAGAGAGAAACATCGATCAGCTGCCTCCTGCACACCCCCCACTGGGGATGTGCCCGCAACCAAGGTACATGCCCTTGACCGGAATCGAACCTGGGACCCTTGAGTCCTCAGGCCGACGCTCTATCCACTGAGCCACACCGGCTAGGGCGGTGTCTGCCGTCTTAACCGGAGGGCAGGTCGTGGGAAGCTGAGAGCACCTGCGTGTGAGGCTGGACTGGGCTTGTCCTCAGAGGTCCCTGTGCCCTGGGGTCAGGAAGGAAACTCAAGCTCCCAGGCCACCCCGCCAGCTCGACGGCGCCTGGTGCTGCAGCTGATGTCGCGATTCCCAGGGCAGGGACGTTGGAGCCAGACAGCCTGGCTTCCAGCCCTCCCACTCACGGGCTGTGTGATCTTGGGCAAGTCACCGCGCCTCTCTGTGCCTCAGTGTCCCCAGCTGTGAAATGGGATAACACTGCCCACCTCGTAGGGTTGTGGTGAGGACTCTAGAGCTTCATGTATGTCATATATGTTCATGTATGTTAAGCGCTGGGGACAGAGCCCAGCTCATTGCGAGGGCCTTGTCTGTTAGCATTGTCTTTAGGCCCGAAGAGGTTTTCACTGGCATCAGGGACCCCACCTCCATCCCAGGCACCCCGACTCCTGCCCCAGGGGGCTCCATCTCTCAGAGAGGGGAGGATCTTTGAAACCCTCTCATGGCTCTTTTTTTTTTTTTAATTTTTTTTAATTTATTGACTTCAGAGAAGGGAGAGGGAGAAAGAGAGAAACATCAACGATGAGAGTGAATCATTGACCGGATGCCTCCTGCATGCCCCCTACTGGGGATGTGCCCTGATTGGGAATTGAACCCCGAACTCCTGGTTCATAGGTCTGTGCTCAACCACTGAGCCACACTGGCCCGGCCCCTCACGCTTCTTAACAGGGACCAAGGAGCTTAGCCCAGGCCACACAGAGTCCTAGCACCATGTCCGCACCCCCGGCTTCGGTCCTTCTGCAGCGGGGACGCCCCCCCGGGAGACGGCGGGGGCCACCAGGCCTGGAGGGGTGGAATGCCCGGCCAGCTGCCCTTGTCGCCCCGGGAAGGCTGTCGGCCAGGAAGCCAGCACCAGTGCGCTCAGGGGCAGGGCCTGTTTGTAAACACTGAGGAGGAGGCTCATCGATCCCAGGACAACAGCCTTGTCCCCAGCCCAGCCCCAGCCCCTTTCATTTGTTTTCCTGGGGAACTGAGAGAGTCCTCCGGTCCCACCCCGCCCCGCCCCGCCCCGCCCCTGCAATCTCAGAGGCTCTTCAAGGTGTTATTTCCACAATGTGGAAAATGTCCTCGATCTTATCCCTCCCTCCCTCCCTCCTTCCTTCGCCCTGGTTACTGAGTCTGCAAGCCCTTTGACAAGTCACAGCACGCTTCACGCCTCCCGGGGGGCCTGTGAGAGAGAGAGGGAGAGCGGGGTCCTCACCTGGTGGGGGGTGGGCACGGGGAAGGCAGGAAACACAGGTGTTGGCAAGCAGTGGCTGTGGGCCCAGTGGCATGTAATGTAAGTAGCACATATTGTTTATTCGTTAGACAGAGACATTTATTGAGTACCTACTGTGCGCCTGACACTGTTCTGGGAGAGAGCAGTGACCGCAGTAGGTGAGGTCTTGGCCCTCAGGGACCCACCTGGCCAGCACAGTGCTGCCCCATGGAAATGCAGTGTGGCTTGTCACATTGATGAAGAGACACAGATGAGGTTAATTTTAATAACATACCTTATTAAAAATATTTTTATTTCAGAGAGGAAGGGAGAGGCAGAGAGGGATAGAAACATCAGTGGTGACAGAGAATCCTGGATCGGCTGCCTCCTGCACGGCCCCCACTGGGGATCGGGTCCGCAACCAGGGCCTGTGCCCTGACCGGGCATCGAACCCAGGCCCTGCCCTTCACCTCTCCTGTGACCTTGAGCCAGCTGTGCGAGTTCCTAGTTACTGCCCCCCTTTTCCCTGTGCCGTGAGCTTCCTAAAGAAGGGGAGCGGAGTTAGGAGCTTATTCCGGAGACACACGGAGGCGATGCTGCCGTCCGGCCCCCGGGCCAGCTGGTGACGGGCCGTGGGAGGAACCCGCTGTGGGAGGAGTCGCCGCAGCCCTTCCTGCTGCTGGCACTTCCAGGCGGTCTGCGTCCAAGAACCATTCACCCTCACGAGGGCCCTTGGGGGGACAGGTTACACTCCTTGCCTCGTATCCCCGGCTCCCAAAGGTTGAATGTTTGTCCAACGTCAGCTAGGACCTGGCGGAGACAGTCCGATCCAGGTAAGCAGGCTCCGGTGTCCGCGCCTTCACCAGCGTTCTGTGCGGGCAGCGGCGATAATGCTGCCGAGTTTGCAGTTTTACAAAATGCCAGGTTTTTCGGTAACAGCTTTATTGAATGTAATTTGCATATGATGCAACTTACCCCTTATAGCATACGACTCCATGGTTTTAGTCATTTCGCAGAGCCGTGCAACCATCACTGCAGTCCGTTTTGGAACATTCTCATTGCTCAGAAAAGAAAACCCATATGGCCCTTGCCGGGGTGGCTCAGTGGGTTGGGCGTCATCCGTGCACCACAAGGTTGCTGGTTCGATTCCCAGTCAGGGCGCATGCCCAGGTTGCGGGCTCGATCCCTGATGGGGGGCGCGCAGGAGGTGGCTCTTTCTCCTCTCCCTTCCTCTCTCTCTAAAAAACACACCCGTATTCCTTAATAGTCGTTCCTTACCCGCCTCCAGCCTCTGCCCCGGGCAGCGGCCAGGCTGCTCTGCCTGTGGATTTATCTACTCGGCACATTTCCCAGGAGTGGATCCTGCACTGTGTGGGCCTCCGTGTCTGGCCGCTTTCACTTAGTGGATGTTTTGTTTTTGTTTTAATATTATTTTATTATTTTTTAAATGTATTTTTATTGATTTCAGAGAGGAAGGGAGAGGGAGAGAGAGATAGAAACATCCACGATGAGAGAGAATCATGGATCGGCTGCCTCCTGCACGCCCCCTACTGGGGACCGAGTCCGAAACCCGGGCCTGTGCCCTTGACCCGAATTGAACCCGGGACCCTTCAGTCCGCAGGCCGACGCTCTATCCACTGAGCCACACCAGCCAGGGCTAGTGCGACGTTTACCAGGTTCATCCACGTTGTGGCAGGTGTCGGTGCTTCGCTCCTTTCCACGGCTGAGTAATGTTAGGGCTCCTCAGCTGAGGGGAACTGAGGCTCGGGGTGGCTCAGGAACTGGCCCAGGAGCTCGAAGAGATGCCCGTGTGAGACGTACGAGGAACTCTGGGCCAGCTGGCAGCCCCCGGGGTCTTTGCAGCCTCTTGCTCCCTGGAGAGAAGTCTGTCCTGACTGAGGGTCTGTCCAAAGGTCAGGGGTGTGGGCTCCCCAGAGCGGCTGGGCCTGTGAGGCCCCATCTCCGGGGGCTGCTCCTTCCTCCATCCTGTCCAGACAGGTAGCAGGTGCCGCGCGAGCCTGTGGCGGACCTTGGGCAGGTCTCACCTGGGCAGGTCCAGACAGGAAGGGCGCCTCCTGTCGTTTGCAAAGTTGCCATGGGGGCCGGTGTGCCCGATGCCCCAGCCCGGCAGGCCCTGACCCCGCGCCCGCGCCCGCGCAGGAGCTGGAGCTGGTGGAGGACGTGTGGCGGGGGGAGGCGCAGGACCTCCTGTCCCAGATCGCCCAGCTGCAGGAGGAGAACAAGCAGCTGATGACCAACCTCTCCCACAAGGACGTCAGCTTCTCCGAGGAGGAGTTCCAGAAGCACGAAGGTAGGAGGGGGGGGTGGGGGGGGGCGCGGGAGAAGGCTGTTCCCACGCCCATCACAAAATACCACGTGCGGGCGGGCGCACGTACAGTGCGATTGAAACTTCGTGGCCAATGCTCAGAAGTCAGTATTTTGTGGAAGAGCCACACTCAAGGGGCCAAAGAGCCGCATGTGGCTCCCGAGCCACAGTTTGCCGACCACTGGGCTAGAGCATCGGCCTGCAGACTGAAGGGTCCCGGGTTCGATCCTGATCGGTCGCAGGCTTGATCCCTGGCCCTGGTCAGGGTGCATGTGGCAGACAACTAATCGATGTGTCTCTCACATCGAAGTTTCTCTCTCTCTATCTCTCCCCGTCCCTTCCACTCTCTCTAAAAAATAATCAATGGGAAAAATATCCTCAGGTGAGGATTAACAACAACAAAAATGATACACCCAAAATTCTTGGGTTCTGGGCAGACAATGCCACCACCAGGGCAGGAGGACCCTGAGCTGGCGTGACTGGCGTGACTGGCCTGGCCCAGCCTGGGGTCCCTCACCAGCAGAACACTGTCCCCCAGGACCCCTGGAAGGCTCAGACGTGGCACTGTCCAGTGAGGAAGTGCTGATGTGGGGTGGACGGAGCGGGGAGCTGCGCAGGGGCGAGCGGGCAGGGCGGGGGCTCACCTGCAGGTCTCGCTGCCCCTCCCAGGCATGTCGGAGCGGGAGCGGCAGGTGATGAAGAAGCTGAAGGAGGTGGTGGACAAGCAGCGCGATGAGATCCGCGCCAAGGACCGGGAGCTGGGCCTGAAGAGCGAGGACGTGGAGGCTGTGAGTGACCAGCCCACCCGTGTCCCTCCTCCCGGCCAGCAGGTTCCAGCCAGAGACAGAGCTCCCTCAGGGGGCTCCCCGTCCCCCCGGGTCTCGCTCCGTGGGCTCCGTGGGGTGCGGATCCTGCCTGAGGCCTGGCGGGCCCGGCCCTGGAACAGCGGGAGGGACCTGCCTCCTGCCACCCACACCCTGGGGAGGCCCCAGGCCCGCTCAGCCTTGGCTCTGACCCTGAGGCTTCCCCCTGGAGTGCATGGTTCCCGGAGCCCGCCCACTCGCGCCCCCCAGGCTGCTGCAGGGACCCGTGCAGCGGGGCGGGGGGGGGTCTCTGCCTGAGTTGGGAAAGCACACCCCTTTCTTGCCTGGCCAGCGTGGCTCAGTGCTTACGCATTGACCTATGAACCAGGAGGTCAGGGTTCGATTCCGGGTCAGGGCACAGGCCCAGGTTGTGTGCTCGATCCCCAGTGTGGGGCGCGTGCAGGAGGCAGCCGATCCATGATTCTCTCTCATCATGGATGTCACTATATCTCTATTCCTCTCCCTTTCTCTCTCTCGAAAACCAGTAAAAACGTAATTTAAAAAAAAACAACACACACACCCCTTTCTCCAAACATGTTACTTCCATCTGCTGGGAAATTGTCTTCCTGTACTAACAAGACACGCATCTTCCATCTGCCGTAAAGTTTCCACAGTAAATAGACACATCGCCCGTCTCTGGCACCGGCGGAGCTATGTGAACACATGTCAAACCCATGAAGACGTGGGCAGGACGAGTGGCACGCGCCGGGTGGTCTGCCTCGTGCGTGCGCGGCGTGAGCCCCGCGGGGCGCCCCCTCAGTGGCCTTTCTCTCCCCGCAGCTGCAGCAGCAGCAGACGCGGCTGATGAAGATCAACCACGACCTCCGGCACCGCATCACGGTGGTGGAGGCGCAGGGCAAGGCCCTGATCGAGCAGAAGGTCGAGCTGGAGGCCGACCTGCAGACCAAGGAGCAGGAGATGGGCAGCCTGCGGGCGGAGCTCGGGAAGCTGCGGGAGCGGCTGCGGGGCGCCCCCAGCCAGAACGGCGAGGAGGAGCCCGAGGTGAGTGCACGCCGCTCGGGCTGCCTTTTCCCCGTGACGCCTTACGGGACGGAGGCCCAGAGAGCGCGAGCTGCTGCCTGGAGGACACACAGCGGGGGGTAGAGGCAGGTCTGGGCCCCCAGCGTTGTAGCCCAGAGTAGGCGGCTCAGAGGTGGTTACAGGCACCTGCCATTCTCCATCCATTCATTCATTCACTCACTCATTCACTCATTCATTCCAGTAACTACGGATCATACTGCAAGATCATAGCAGCACTGCTCACAGTAGTCAGAAGGTAGAAACAACCTGCATGTCCATTGATGATTCGTGGATAAACCAAGCGTGGTCTGTCCAATCAGTGGAATATTACTCAGCCATGAAAAGGAATGAAGCGCTGACACACGCCATAACATGCATGAACTTAGAAAACATGCTACATGAAAGTAGCCAACACAAAGGCCACATGCTGCATGATTCCAGGGACTTGAGGTCGAGAACAGGCAAATCCACAGAGCAGAAAGCGGACGGTGGCTGCAGGGTCTGGGGGCCAGGGGGCGGGGGGCGATGGGGAGTGAGTGCTAATGGCGACGGGGTTTCCCTTGGGTGATGAAAATTTCGGGAATTAGTGGTGATGGTCACACAATTCAATGGACTAAAAACACCGAATTCTGTACTTTTAAAAGAGTGGATTTTATGGTACATAAATTACATTTTATTTTTTAAATAATTTTATTGATTTCAGAGAGGAAGGGAGAGGGAGAGAGAGATAGAAACATCCGTGATGAGAGAGAATCATGGATCAGCTGCCTCCTCCACGCCCCACACTGGGGATGGAGCCCGCAACCCGGGCCTGTGCCCTGACTGGGAATCGAACCCTGACCTCCTGGTTCATAGGTCGACACTCAGCCACTGAGCCATGGGCCAGGCTTGTGTGGTCTTTTAAGTACGCAAGGAAAGCAGACAGGAGCCATCGGGTGAGGCCGGGTTTCGGGCTGAATTCGCACAGTCGGTCCCCTTTGCTGGGCCTGGGGCACAGGAAGTGGCCATGACGGGCCCAGGCAGCAGGGAGCGTGCGCAGGGGGCCAGGCCTCGGGATGGAGGCCCTGATGGAGGCGTGACCCCCTGACGCCTCTCTGCACAGGCCCCACTGCTTGTCGGCCGGGCTCCCGGACCTCCCCAGGGAGCAGCGGGGCCGGGCCTCTCCCTCCGGCTGTGCCCAGGGCGCCTCCTGGGAGCAGCGGACAATCCGAGATAACCCAGGCCACCTGCACGGTCCCTGGTGCCGTAAGCCTAGAAGGCCCGCTGCCGATCGGCCGATGGCGGCTGGGACGGGCCGATCGGGGCTGCCCCAGGCACTGCATCAGGACCCGTGGCCTCCAGAGAAGCCCGAGCCCCCAGCTGTCCCTCCTCTGCCCCCCGGGCAGCGGCCCCAGAGGCAGGACCTGATGGCAAAGCTGCCTGGGAAGCCCCCACGTTCTAAGGGGCGGCCCCAGAGGCAGGACCTGATGGCAAAGCTGCCTGGGAAGCCCCCACGTTCTAAGGGGCTCAGACACTCGCTGTGAAACAGCCTTCCCTCCTCCAGAGAGGAAGTGCTCGGGCTCCGAGGAGCCTTCGGTGGGGCTGAGGGCAGCCTCTGGGCTGAGCAAGGGGAGACGCCGGCTTGAGAGCAGTGTTTATAGGGGCCCCCATGTGAGCAGTGTTTATAGGGGCCCCCCAGTCCGGCGGGAAGGGCTCCTAGGCATATTGTTGGGTTATCGAGGGCGAGATGGAGAAACACAGGCGCGGAGAGGGGCCGGCAGCGCACCCAAAGGCCTCTGGGAAGGGAAGCCTCTCAGTTTACTTATATATTTTAATTGATTTCAGAGAGGCAGGGAGAGGGGCCGAGAGACGGAAACAGCAGTGATGAGAGGGAATTACTGATCAGCTGCCTCATGCACGCCCCTGCACCCTGAGCATGTGCCCTGACCGGGGCGAACCGTGACCTCCGGGGTCATGGTCGGCCACCTGGCAGCCCCAGCCAGGCTCATTGTGTGAACGTACTCATTCGTGTCAGATCAGGCTGACGTAGAGCACTGTGTGGGTGAGGGTGTGCGCGTGCTGCCTGGTTGGTTACTGTGCTGCAGTGTGAGGCCACCGTAGTGTCAGCTCAGCTTCCGTCACGCACGGCACTGCCCTTTCCTTTCTGTGGTGGGAAACCCGCCGGCGTCTGGTCCGCTGGTGGCACTTCCCGGCTCTGGGCAGCCTCTTGAGGGCTTCTCGCCTTCCCGGGCGGGGGGACTCCTCACATGGCCCCTCCCAGAGACTCGGGAACCTGGGACCTGCCCCAGTGACAGCAGGACCCGAGTTCCGGGGAGGGAGGGCCTGGAGGGAGTGTGTGAGCCTGAGATGGGGCCACCAAAGGGGCCCCTGATGCCTCAGGGTCCGAGGCCGAGAAGGAAAAAGCTGTGGGAGTCAGCAGCCGTGGGAGGAGCAGGTACGGAGAGTGGCAGCTACGCAGCAACAGTGTCGCCGTGCGGGTCCACTGTGACCCAATCTTCCCATTTTTATCCAAAAGGAAGCCCAGAACCTAAGCTTTAGTGTGAAGTCTTCTGATCTAAACTTTTTGGCCACTGATTAGAAGTCTTAGAATACAGTCAAAGGAGCTCCAGTGTCGCAATCGGTTAGCGCGCGGTACTTATACAGAATACAGTCAGAGCCAAATAAAATGAGGGGCAGAGACGGGGGGTGGAGGGAGGCATAGTTCCTAGCAAACTCCTACACATCCGTCAAGACCCCATGCACAGAGACCGCATCTGCAGTAACGCCTTCTGCGACCCTCTGTTAGAGCTGGGTGTCTCGCACCCTTTCACTCTGCTTGTTACCGTGTAAGTTTCCATTTATGTGGCTCTTTCCTCCACATGCACATTCCTGTCTGATTCATCTCCTTAGCTCAGTGGCCAGCAGCACAAAGTTAACGCTTCACACATACTGAATGCGTGTTAGACATTCAAGGACGCTCCGTGGTTAACCTGGGCAGGGGAAGAGAAATGTCGCCGTTAGTGAGCTCCTGCTGTGTACCGGGCACCGGCCACACGGGTCGTGGGTGGGGGCACCCTCAGAGTCTAGCTGTGCAGAGGGCTGCCATGACCACAGCCCAGCTGGAGGCGTGCCCCGCACACGCGCTTTCCTGGGAGGCGAAGTCCTCCAGCACGTCCTCCCCTGGTTCCTGGGTGGGCGGGGGCCTACTCTGATCCCCAGCTGGTGTGTGTGTGGGGTGGGGGTGTCAGGTTTGGGTTTCCTGCTGCCCTGCTGCCTCTGCTGCTTGCTGACTCCGGGTCACCCCCTCCCCCCTCCCCCCCTTGCCTGCCAAGCGGCCCTTCTGTCACCTGACCTGCCCCGAGGGGGGGGTGTCTCCTTTCAGGTGTCCTTTCCCAGAACAGCCTGTCCGCTCCCAGGATGCCTTCTGGAGCCCAGCATCCCAGCCGCGCCCCTGACTCAGGCCGCGTCCCCTTGGCCTGTGCCGCTGTGGGGTGTTTGTTTTGGGGGGTCGGGGAGGGTCTTTATTTCAGTCCCTCATTCTCCTGTTCTGGAGCGGAAGTTCCCTCTTGTCCTGAGTTTTTCCTCCTTTTTTTAATTTTATTGATTTCAGAGAGTAAAGGAGAGAGAGAGAGAGAAACCAATGAGAGAGAGAGAGAAACATCAATGATGAGAGAGAATCATGGATCGGCTGCCTCCTGCACGTCCCCCACTGGGGATGGAGCCTGCATCCCGGGCCTGTGTCCCGACCGGGAATCGGGAACCGAACCGGGACCTGGTTCATAGGTCGACGCTCAACCACAGAGCCATGTCAGTGGGCTTATCGTCATTTGTTTAAAGTTCCTTTTTCTGGCAGAGGGTGGGAGGACCAGGTTTGGATCTGGCCTGGATCAGGTGACTTAGCATGCTGGGATCCATCCGTGGGACCCTCTCCCCGCCTACACCCCCTGAGCTGAGCTTCCACTGAACCCCAAGGAACGTGCCCACGGCCACGGGGGAGAAAGGGCTCGACCAGAAGGCTGGTCGCAAGTGGGAAGAGGCATGTGACTTAATCACAAATGAAAAGGTAGAGCGAATTATGCGCAGGCGCTGATCCCAGCTGCTCTGGCCCGATCCATCGATCGATCTATCGATCGATCGCAGTGGTCTGAGTGAGGCTGGGAGAGGGACACAGGCGGGTCTGAGGTGGCGGCCTTGGTGTGCGGATTCTCCTCCTTGGCCGCCTCTGAATGCAGCTGGTAATGAAACCCCGAGTCAGGTGGGGAGGCGCGGGGTCTGGGTGTCCGGTTGGGTAATTGAGAAGGCGGACAATGGACAGGTGGCCGCCGGCTTTCGGCTTTCGTCCCCAGAGGACTTCACAGAAGGGGAGCGGAGGCCGCGGGAGCCTAAAATAGCGCCCTGGGCGAGCCGCTGGGGCCCGGAGGGTGGGCAGTGGGCGGGACAGGATGCGGCCAGGAGCTCAGCAGCATCTCTGCCTCCTGCAGGCGGAGCCTGGCCGGGAGGAGAGCATCTCGGAGGCAGAGAAGGCGGCCATGGACCTCAAGGACCCCAACCGCCCCCGCTTCACGCTGCAGGAGCTGCGGGACGTGCTGCACGAGAGGAACGAGCTCAAGTCCAAGGTGTTCTTGCTGCAGGAGGAGCTGGCGTACTATAAGAGGTGAGCGTCGGGAGCCCCGGCGGCCCCCGGGGTCGTGCGGAGCCTGGGGACAGTGAGCTCCTAGAAGACAAGGGTTGCATCTGCGTCTGTTCTGGGGCCTCTCTCTGGCCGAAGTCTCACTCTGGGCAGGCTTCATGGAGGAGGTGGCATTTGAACGGGGCCTGCTCTACAGGAGAGGGTACCCTTCAGGACGGGGGCGGGGGGAGGTGGAGGGGCGGGTGGCGTATTCCAGACGGGAGGAAACACAAAGGCCTGGAGACCAGCATTTTCAGGAAACAGGAAACAGGAAGTACAGTGGCACCTCGTTTCTCGAACTTACTTGGTTCCGGAGGCTGTTGGAAAGCCGACTCTTTTTTCCTATTAGAAATCGTGTAAATTGAATTAATTCGTTCCAGACCCCAAATGATTCCGTTTTAACCTTTCTCATATACAGAACTTGTCTCTTGTGCTGTTGAATCTGTAAAGAAACACTTTAAAAACTAAGAGGACACGAAATGTCAATGAGCATTTAACGAAAAGGAAAGGAAATTACAGTAAAAAAGGGAAATGTAACGATCATGATAAGCAGCAACAGAAGCAAAAGGAACCTGTTCTAGAACAGCTTCTAAGCCTTTCCCAGCGTGACTCGCTGAGACGTTCAGTGGGAAACCCTCGCTCCCGCGCGTTCTCTCCTCTGTCTCCCGAGGTGCTGGCTGCGCGTACGGGTATCGGCCCGAAAGGGCGCCGGGTGGAGAAGGGAATTGTTCGAGATGGGGGACGGTCTAGAAACGAGGTTCCACCGTAGTTCTCTTTGGCTGGAATCTTCAAAGGAAACTGGAAATGGAGATGTGGGTCCGTCCCTGCGATGCCGCACAGGGTCCCAGAGCCAAGGGGTCCCAGGCCCCTGTGCCCGTCGCCTGCAGGGCCCGCCTCCCTGCTCACTGCCATGCCCCCCCCCAGGGGCAGCCCCCCCAGGCAGAGGCCACCGGTGCCAGCCTCCGGGGCCCCCTTATTCCAAGTGCAAGTCCTCCCAGGCCACCAGACAACACCCTTCTGGAATGTCCCAGCTCTCCTGGAATTTTTGACGCTTGCCTTCCGCCTCTCACCCCCTTCCAGTGAAGAAATAGAAGAGGAAAATCGAATACTCCAGCCCCCGCCCATCGTCCACCCGAGGATGTCCCCCCAGCCGGAGTCTGGGATCAAGCGACTGTAAGTGACGAGCTTCCGGCCCACGGCTGCTCGCTGGCGGCTGCCCTGGCGGCTCCCTGGCCTCACGCCTCCTGGGCACCTGCTCCAGGGCCAGGCTTGTCACTAACCAGCTCCCGCTGAGACAGGCCTAACCGGGCGCGTGGGGCCTGCCCTTCACTTGAGTTCACCTCTTTGTGGGTGCCGAGTCCTCCTGGGGTCCCTGGGCAGAGGTGTGGGGAAGGCTTGCTTGAGTGGGTCTGCTGGGGTGTGTCCTTGAGGCTGGGGGGTGTGTGGCTCGTGCTGCTTAAGGGCTTGGAACCCCAGCTCGAGAGGTCAGGAGTGGGCCCAGGTCCGCCCCGCATCTCTGCGTTGCTCTGGTGACTCACCCACCTGTCCCTCCGTACCTTCATTGATTAGTTATTGGTGCGTAATGCATGCAGGGTCAGGCCCGGGGCGCTGTGAGGACACGCAGGAAAGAGCAGCCTATCTTTGCCCTCAACTAGACTTACAGCTACTGCAGTGTTGTTGGTTTTTAATATATTTTTATTGATGTCAGAGAGGAAGGGAGAGGGAGGGAGAGAGAAACGTCAGTGATGAGAGAGGATCATGGACCGGCTGCCTCCTGCACGCCCCACACTGGGGATCGAGCCCGCAACCCGGGCCTGTGCCCTGACTGGGAATCAAACCTTGACTCCTGGTTCCTAGGTTGATGCTCAGCCACGGAGCCACGCCGGCCGGGCCTACATCCGTGTTTTTTTGCATCAAAAGACCGTTTGAGATTGTGATGAGAGTTTATAAACCAGCTTGGAGCACTTGAGCGAAGTTGTCTTTCCCCCAAGTCGGGTGGCTCCGAGCTGGGACACTTCACCCCATTTCTCAGAAGAAAGTGAGGCCCTGGGAGTCAGGACTTAGCCCAGGCCTTTTGTCTGCCACCCGGGCTGTCCCACCTCCTCCCGGCCCCGGCCCCTGCCCCTCCCCCGGACTTGAGTCGCCAGCTGTGGGCCGGCTGCCCAGTTCCCTTATCTCTCCAGGGCCCACAAGCCCGAGGCGCCACTGTCTGCATTTCTGGGCTGAACCGCTCGAGGGAACCAGAAACTCCGCTGCCAGTCAAAACAATGTGCCCAGAAGACGGTCCAAGAATAGCTTGTGATCGCACAGCTGCTGGCCCCGAGGCCGGCTGGCACTGCCCTGCAGGTCACGTGGGAGCGCCTGAGCGACTCCAGCTCGTCCCCAGTGGACACCAGGCACCGGTGCCCCCTTTGTGTGGCCCCAGCCCCCGTTCGGGGTCCCAGGGACCCACACAGCTGCTTCCTGCAGCTCAGAGCGGAGGGGCCGGCCGAGGCAGGAAGCAGGCAGAGGGGGGCCAGGGAGGCGGCGGGTCAGACAGCGGCCACCAGGGGGGCAGCGGTAGGGGCAGCGGGGCATGCTGTCCTGTCCTCCCCACCACCCTCCCGCTTCAGCCTGGAAATAGCTGGGGCCGCGCCTGGTTTGCCTTCCAGAGTTCAAACCAGCTGCAGGGCACCCAGGACGCAGCTGCCTCCTGGCGGGCCGTTCCCTGGAGGGGGTGCTTCTGCAGGGGCTCCCCCCGGGAGGCAGGGGCGCCCATTCAGGGGCCGCACTGGCCCGTGTCCAGGGCCCCTGCGCATCAGTCTGGCCGGCGTGTGTCCAGGCAGGAGGCCCAGCCATGACTAGGGCCATCCCCGCACAAAGCCTGTGTCTTTGGGGAGCCCTGTCATGCTGAGGGGGTCCTGGCGAAGGTGGGTACAGGACCGTGTGGCTTGGAGCCCCTGGAAAGCTGGCTGTGCCCTCTGGCCTGGCCGGGGGCGGGGCCATCATTTGGCAGAAGGCATCTCCTCTTCTCACCGTCACGTGAGCAGCCGTCCAGAGGGTCCTGCCCTGGTGCCAGCCACTCTGGGGCGCATCAAAGGCGATCCACACACAGAGACTCCCACCCTCGTCCGAGACAGTCCGTTTATGTCCTTTCCCAGCCAACCTCCCAGAAAACCCAAAAAGAGAAAAAGCCAAGCTGTTCAAAATACGCGGCAGTGGATCGGTTGGTGCTCCTGGTTGTCCTGGCCCAGCTAGGGGCCCGAGGCGCCTTCCTGTCCACGGCCGTCCCCGCCCCAGGCCTGCCCTGCCCGTCCCCCCTCGGGGGCTGTCGCCTGCCTGGTTCTCACCTGCCAGGTGGTTTGCTGGGGACCAGGCGGCTTACACCACAGACAGGCTCCTCGCTCTGCAGGCCACAAGTCCAAGGCCAGGGTGTCACAGGTCGTTCCTCCTGAGGCCGAGAGGGAGCGCCTGCCCCCCCTCTCTCCTGGGGCTGGTGTTGGCCTTTGTTGGCTTCTAGAATCTTCACCTGACCTCCCCCTTCCTCCCCACGTGGCCTTCCTTCCTGTGTGCGTGTCCGTCTCCACACCCCCCTTTACAAGGACCCTGTTCCCCTGTAACCTCATCTTAACCAAGTACATCGGCAGGGACCCCGCTCCTACAGGGTCACCATGGGAGGCCCCGGCTTAGGACGGCGTACGGGGGAGGGGGCACAGCTCCGCCCTCCCGGTGTGCGCGCAGGCCTCCTTCCGTGCCTCCTCCTGCTCTTCACCTCTGTCTGTCTGTCTGTCTGTACTTTTCCGAGCAGGATCTTTACAGCCATAATGCCCATGGTAGCGGCTGGCCTGATCCTCGACGACCCCACCCTGCAGCCCGTGCGACGACTCGTGTCCCTCGTAGGCACTGGGTGTTTCTGATCTGGTTTTGAGCTTGGCCTGGGGCGTGTGTGCTGCTGCGGCTGCCGCGGGGCTGGCCCGTGCCCTTGGCCGCGCTGGCTGCATGGCCGCCACCTGCGTGTCCCCGGGGCAGTGGGTGTGGAGCGCGGGCTCAGACGTGCCGCTCACGGCGCCCGATGTGCTCGCCTCGTGTGGCCTGGACGTCCCGGCTCTGCCACCGATAACTCTGTCTTTTCTGTTTCTGTTCTAAACCCACCTTGTCCGTGGTCCAGTAAAGAAGGTCCTTTAAGTGACGGGTCAGTAACCACGCCCACTGCGACCCCCGCCCCTCCCCCACCCCCGCGATACTAACCCGTGTTCTCAGTCTTCACGCCCAGCTTTCTAAACTGCTGTGTTTGCCAAGCTGACGTCAGGAAGCTAGTCCATCTGGCTTTTTAAAAAAATATTTTTAATTGATTTATAGAGAGAGAAACATCCATGAGACAGGAACATCATCGATCGGCTGCCTCCTGCACGCCCCTCACTGGGGATGGAGCCCGCTACCCGGGCCTGTGCCCTGACCGGGAATCGAACCCTGACCTCCTGGTTCATAGGCTGATGCTCAACCCCAGAGCCACACCAGTTGAGCTGATCGGGCTTTTTTTTTAAAAAAAAAAGGAAAAGCAAAGGAGGGGACCTATGTGTTGATTCCGTGTGTCCCCTTGGACGGAAGTGGCACGTGGCTGGCCTGCTTACCTGAGGGGGGCGGAGGGGGCACGTGACAGCTGTGTGGCTGCTGTGTTTGTGGCCGGCTTGATGCCCTGACGACCCCCGGAACAAGCTCACACGTGGCCCAGGGTGCAGGCTGTGCCTCCGTCAGCCCCTCGCGCACCTGTCACAGAAGAGGTCGTAGCCGGGAGGGAGGGCTTCCCGACAGATCCACTCGCCCCAGGCCTGCGAGGAAGGACCACGTATTCCCGCTGGGAGGTGGTTGCAGGGCCGAGTAGCCACGGAGGAGGCCAGTCATGTCACCCGGATGGGACTCACACTGAGCTCCATGGGCCGCAGCACGCGCGCGTGCACACACACACACACACACACACACAGCGAACAGGCGAGCAGACAGGGAACTGCACACAGTGGGTCTGCAGCTGGGGTTTCTCGGTGGCTCCTCCCTGTCCCTGTGCCCGGGAAGCGTGGCTGAGCAGTTGGGTCACTTACCAAGGTCAGAAACCACGACTCGGGAGGAGGAGAACTTGGTGAGGATCGAAGGAACCTGTTGGAGGCGGGGAGGGCGGGACGGGGTTAGAAGCCCTCCAGGGGGGCCAGCCGGGTGGACATCGGGCCCAGGTCTGCCCAGGAGGAGGCCGCAGACCTCGTTGGAAACGGGCCTGTGATGCCACCTTCATCTTCTGGGCATTGGGTGGTGCACTCCGATGGATCAGTGATCAGTAGGCAGCTGTTTCCAAAAGGCCTCGTGGTCTACATTCAGGTGTGTTTTTTTAAAAATATGTTTGTATTGATTTCAGAGACAGGAGAGGGAGAGAGAAACATCAATGAAGAGAGAGAACCATGGATCGGCTGCCTCCTGCACGCCCCCTACTGGGGATTGAGCCCGAAACCTGGGCACGTGCCCTGACCGGGAATTGAACTGGTGACCTCCTGGTTCATAGGTCGACGCTCAGCCACTGAGCCACACTGTCCAGGGCCAGGCTGCAGTCGCCGTTTCTCACAAGGTGACCGCTCCGCCAGGCTTTCACCATAAGTCAGTTTTTGTCGCTCCAGAATGACGCCTCCCAGGCTGCACTCACGTCCGATAGTCACGGTGTTTCCCTAATCGGAGCCACCTGTCCCGTTCACGGGTTTTTAATCGTCTCATTTTCCTTACATCCCTGCTTCTGCCTCCTCCTGAGCAGTAACATCCGTGCCATCGGGGCTCTGAGGTGCGCTGATTCGTTCCATAAACACATCGTAACTACATACGGGAACGTCTGTCCGCCTGCTCGCCCCACGCCGTCTCACACGCGTGGCCTCAGGCTCACCTCCCTGCCTCCTGAGGCCGAGGCAGCCGAGAGGGAGGCTTCCAGCAGCCCTTCGCCTCCACCGGTGGGGCGGCCCTCGTAGGGGGCGGGAGGAGGTGGCGCCTCACAGTCACGTGTGCGCTCCCCATTCACACCGTCCCCTCCGAGGGGCCGTGACCGTGACCCGAATCCCTGCTGCTTTCCAGCTTAACTCCGGCCACACCCCGTGTGCTCCTTCCTCCCGTGCCTGGGTTTGCTCCGCCCCGTCTGCCGCTCTGTGCCCCGAGGGCGGCGCTCACGTCTGTCTTCCCCCGCAGGTTTAGCTTCTTCTCCCGGGACAAGAAGCGCCTGGTCACCACGCAGCGGGGCCCACACGGCCAGGAGTCCTTCGGCCAGTGGGCCCGTGCCCACCGGGACGACGGCTACACGGAGCAGGCACAGGAGGCCCTGCAGCACCTGTGAGCCGGCCGCCCGCCCTCGGACCTGCACCCGCGCCCGTGCCCGGCGCCGCGGGCCTGCCACGGACCCGGCGGCCCAGGGCTCGCGGCCTCGCACACCCTCGGGTCAGGCGCCCCTCAAAACGGAGCCTCAGACAGACTGTCCGCCCCGAGGAAGCACGTGGAGAACTTGCCAGACTCTGCGGAGTGTGCGGACACCCAGGCCCTCCCCGTGTGTCGTAGGTGACTGTGGTCCCTCCGTTTCTATTTAATACGCGTGTGCGCACGGAGGCCAGACTTCTGCATTAACTCGGTAACACAAGCTTCTTTACGCCAAATACACCCCTTGCCGCTGTTGAACTGCCGCGTGGCTGCTGGGGGATTCTAGGGCAGAGGTCCCATGGTCGCCTACGTCTTTTTTTTTTTTTGTCCTCACCAGAGGGTATTTTTCCACTGATTTTTAGAGAGAGTGGAAGGGAGGAAGAGAGACAAGAGAAAGAGACACACATGGATCGGTGGCCTCCCACATGGTCCCCTGTCGGGGATCAAGCCTGCAACCGAGGCACCAGCCCACCCTTCGGTCTGTGGGCCGACGCTCTGTCCACCGAGCCAACCGGCCAGGGCTCACCGGGCGCGTTGAGCGGCACGCACTGAGGCGTCCCGCCTGGAGGTGGCTCAGACAGGGCCTCACCTGGGGGAAGTGGTTCGAACTCCACCTGACCTTGTTCTTCACATGTTCTCCCTGCCGACTCTGTTTCCAAATTGCTGGGGGTTGCTAAGAAACCAGCCATCAGTCAGTTCTCCCTCCCGACTCTGTTTCCAAATTGCTGGGGAGAACCATCAGGAAAGCTGCTGTAGAGCAGGGTGGGGCCTCCTTCCGCCCAGGGCCATTGGATATTCATTACATCATTCTTAGGCCATACAAAATTACCAGCTGAAAAATTAGCCTGCTGTATTTGGTCAAACATTTAATTAACTCACCCCTAGTGCCTTGGCAGGGCCCCACCAAATGATTTCAAGGGGCTCATACAGCTCACGGGCTGGACGTTCCCTACCCTGCTGTAGAGCCTGGTGTTCAGAGCTCACTGCCTGTTGGAATTACTAGAGGCTCAGTGCACGAATTCATGCACCGGTGGGGTCCCTCGGCCTGGCCTGTGGGGATCCGGCCGAAACCAGCTCTCCGACATCCCCCGAGGGGTCCGGATTTTGAAGAGGAGGTTCTCGGGTGACGCATCCTGGAATTGGGCTTTCTCCTCTCTGGTTCTGGATGCATTATCCGAAAACCACAGCTGTCACTGCAGCTCGGCAGGCTCCTGCATCGAGCGTCTGCCCCCTGGTGGTCATTGTGCATCGTAGCTTCTGGTCGGACGGTCGCTTGGGCTTTTATAGATGTAGATTCCCAGAGAGTGAAAAGCACATGCACCAAGGAATCTCCCGCCTGCACCCCGCCTCCTCCACCTTTAGTGGCCCTCCCATACCCGGCTCCCTGGGCACTGCCTCCTCTCTCCCCCCTGACTGTACCCTCCTGAGTCTCCTTTCTTCTCGGTCTTGGGCACTAACTCTTGGCCAGACCTTCTGTCTTCAAGAACCTCATCTCCCCTTGCTGGGTTGGCTCAGTGGATAGAGCGTTGGCCTGCAAACTGAAGGGTACTGGTGGGGTTGTGTGCAGGAGGCAACCCATCGATGTGTTTCTCTCACATCGATGTTTCTCTCTGTCTTTCCCTCTCTTTTCTACTCTCTCTCAAAAAAAGAATCATCCACAGTGCTGAGCTGGGGAAGCCCGGTCCACTGTGTACATGTCTAAGTGGTCCAGGCCCCGATGGGACCGCTTCCCGCCCGCTTCCCTGCCTGCACAGCGCCGCACACCTTCTCGTGCGAGTCCGTCTGCAGAGTAAACCAGAAGCAGGACAGAGGGTGTACGGCTTTGTCATGGTGATGGTGGCTACTAAAGGCTCTGCTATGGGTGGAGGGGGGGTCACCCTTTTTTTTTTAAGTTACCAGGGCCTATGCAAGACTACGTCCAGAGATGAGATCTGAGCATGAGTGTCTTTTAATGTGTTTATTGATTTTTAGAGAGAGGGAGAAAGAGCTAGAAACATCAATGAAGGAAACAGCAACATGGATCGGCTGCCTCCCGCACGCCCCCTGCTGGGGAACTGAGTCCACCTTCCCAGGCGTGAGCCCTGACCAGAGTTCGGCCCGACCACTGAGTCCCACCAGCCAGGCTGTGTTGTTCTGTTTGTTTTATAATATATTCTTATTGATTTCAGAGAGGAAGGGAGAGAGAGAGAGAGAGAAACATCCATGATGAGAGAGAATCATGGATCGGCTTCCTCCTGCAAGTCCCTCGCTGGGGATCGAGCCCACAACCCATGCGTGTGCCCTTGACCAGAATCGAACCTGAGACCTTTCAGTTCGCAGGCCGACGCTCTATCCACTGAGCCAAACCGGCCAGGGCTGTTTTTTAATTCTCACCCGAGGATATTTTTTCCACTGATTTCTAAAGAGAGTGGAAGGGAGGGAGTGGGAGAGAGACATCAGTTGGTTGCCTCCCGCACCCACCCTACCAGGCTGGGAAACCCATGTCCATGCCCTTGACCGGGAATCAAACCTGTGACCCTTTGGTCCACAGGACGACACTCTAGCCACTGAGCCCAACTGGCCAGGGCTCGTTTTTAAATCCCCCATATTCTGATACTCAGGGTTGCAACACCTCAATTGAATTGGTTTCTCATGCCACCTCCCGACACATGCCTCCCTGACGGGAAGCACTCGTCCGGCTAAAGTCCCTACAGCTCTAGCCGGTGGCGGGCTTTTGGCCCATCAGAGGGGGTGAGACATGGGCGAACCAGGAAGGCTTTCCTGCGGGGCTCTAGTCTAAGCCCTGGACATTTACAAAGAAAAGGGCCCGTTTTCCTGAAACCGTGCTAACAGCTGACAGTCATGGAGAGACCCAGCGGGCTCCCCACGGAACAATGAGACCCGTACCCCTAAGGCAAAACCTGCGAACGTGTGCGAGTCTTGATGTTGCCAGACATTCATTCTGCACCAGACATCTTGTTTAAAAAACCTGAACTTTCAAGACAAACTTGCCCAGTGTCGCCTTTATGGATATCGCAGGACAGGCTGGTGCTAACTCAGAGCCCTCAGGAGCGGAGGTCAGTATACCCAGCTCTTAAACGAAGGCCTGGGGGTCAGGAGGGAAGCCACCTTCGGAACTAGGTACAAACCTGCCATTGATTCATCTTCATTTTCATTTCGCTCTTTTTTTTAGAGAGTTTTTTTGAGTTTATTTGAGCCAAACTGTTGACAACTGCTGTGAAGCAGAATCTCAAAGGACTGAGATAATGCTCCGGAGAATGCTTGTTTGGTTTTTACCTTGTTTTATGCATCACAGTCAAAAGAGATTTAAGTGGGTCACATGAACTCCAGTGGCGATCGATGAGGGAGGTGGGAGACCTCTGGAATTGGATAAAAGGTAAAATGATGTGAAAGAGGGGATGTGTGGTCTCCAAGGAGCGGTGCCTGTGCTTTGAGGGGTCCAGGAAAAGGAAAGTGACTGACATCCCAAGGATGAGGGGCCGCGGGCAGAGAGAGAAGAGCATCTCTTGTATAACGTCTAAGTGCGTTAGACATCTAAGGTCGCCATCACCATCACCACATCGGTCGGCAGAGGGAGGGAGAGGGAGAGAGAGAAACATCAATGAGGAGAGAACCATGGATCGGCTGCCTCCGGCACGCCCCCCACTGGGGATCCAGCCCACAACCCAGGCAGGTGCCCTGACCGGGAATCTAACCCTGACCTCCTGGTACACTCGAGCCACCAGAACAGACCTGTACTCAGCACTCCTAGTGCGAGGCCAGTCCCGGGGGCACCTTTTGTTGGAAATGCTAATAAGAGCTTTATACCCAATTGAAATTCTACTCCCAGAGAAAACTGGGCGATTCCCGCCTCAAGAAACTTATTTCTGAACGGGCTGAAACTGACCAGGGTGCGGCGCATGGAGGAGGGGCTTCTCTCCGACGGAATGGCCGTGGCAGGGGCTGGCCGGCCCTGAACCCAGGCGCTCCTGGGTCACCACTTCCCACTCCTTGGCCTGTGTTCCAGCTCCAGGTGGCCCAGCAGCTGCTGCCCAGCCCGGGGTTGTGTCCGCGTTCCAGCAGGGGCGGCAGGAAGCTGGTGGGGTGGCGCCTAAGCCCCACACATGACATGAGCCGCAGCTGCTTCGCCTGGCCTCACCCGCCGGCCGCCGGGCTCTCATCAGACAGACGGGGGTCCTCTCGGTGAGGGGGGGGGGGGGGAATCCCAGCGGGGCCGCAGCCGTGCCTGCCATCACCCCCGGGTGCAGGGGTGCTGTTGTGTAGCAGATGATCACAGAGCCTATCGATGCCAGATGCATGGCTTTTCTATCGCTCCTGGAACAAATTGCCACAAATCTAGCTGCTTGAACCAGTACACATTTATTAGCTCACGGCTGCTGGGTCAGAGGGCCAGCCGGTGTGGCCGGGCCTCCTGCTGAAGGCCTCACACGGCTGAGGTCCAGGTGCTTCAGCTCAACCAGGGAGACCCACCCCCGTGTCCATTCAGGCTGTCGGCAGAATTCAGTTCCTTGCAGGTGCACGGCTTCGGCCCCGCCCCCTTCATCGTCAAAGCCAGTGACAGCGCGTGGAGTCCTTCTGCTCTGGGTCTGGCTTCCCCTTCCCGCACCCCTCTGACTACTTGGAGAAAATTCTCTACTCTTTAGGGCTCAGGTGGTTACCTTGGACTCCCTCAGATAATCCATGGCAGTCTCCCTAATTACCTCCAGTAAGCTAGTTGCATCTCCCCAGGGACTTGGCCGTGTAACAGCATGTTCCCAGGGCCGAGCCCTCCGACGACCACCAAGTACAGCGTCAGGAAGGAGGCAGACAGCAGTGGCTAAAGTCTCCACTCTCACGGGGCTTGTCCCCTAGAAAGGAAGGCTAACTCACAAATAGAAATATGACCATGGCCTCGGAGGACAGGACGGATGCTGGGCCGTCACAGGAGCGCGGGGGCCTTTCCCAAGGGCCTTTCCCAAGGAACTGAGAATTCCAGGACCAAGGCCGCGCCAGGGCCAGGAGCCAGGGCCAGGAGCGTGGCCTGGAAGGTCAGTGCACTGGACCAGAGAAGGAGAGAGAGGGTGGTGCACGCCGGGGGAGGGGAGGCCACCAGGGCACTGCGATGGTGCTGCCTCTAATGTCAGAGAAGGCCACCACCACCCGCTCTGTGAGGGAGGAATTGCTGGCTCCCCAAATTACAGGTGGGGAAACCGAGGCTCTGAGTGGTCAGCCAAGTATGCAAGCAAGTAAGAGGGGGACCTGGCAATCAGATTGCCTCA